AGGACCCTCAAGATAAGAAAAACAAAAAAACCCCAAAACCTGACCTTCTGCAGGTCAGGCTGTCTTGCTTCACACAGATGGAGGCAAATGTTCAGCCACATAAGTAATACAACTAAACCTTTAAGTAAATTTCAGTACTGGCAACTTCTTGAATTTTCACATTGCAGAAACAAATTGCGAGTTATAACTTTCTGTGGTTGTTGAAGCACGATAAAATTTATGTTATTTTCTATGTCTATGTGTTTTAATAACATATGCAAAGTTTCTCACTTAGGTCAGTTGCCTGATTCAGAAAGTTGGTTTTGGATCTCTAGGTCTCTCTTGTTATGAACTAGATGGTCCCTTCTGAGCCTGTGTTTTCATGTATTTCTTTCATAATGCAACAATTTTTGACCCGTGAGAGTTTGTGAAGTACATCTAAGGCATCCACAAAAGGTGGCCAAGAAGCGTAAACCTGTTGCCAAATTTGCATTCGCTCTATGTCAGTCTAGAATCCAATTTTTAAATTTCTGAGTCCACAGTCCAAAACATGTTGGAAACTGGTGTTATATAGAGATTTACAACATAAATAAAAATGTGTATCTTCTATCCTGATCTCTTCTAAAGATGATTTGTAAGTCCTTTTCTTTTATGAGACTAAAATCCTCCAAGAGCTTCGTAGAGTTTCATGACTTGAATTCCTAGTAGTTTCTTTGGGCAATGCCATGTATTACAGTATCTGGTATTGACTTGCATGGATATTGGGGCAGGGTCTGCACTGGAGGGAAGGTCAATGTTCAATGTTCTTCCTGGATACTGGTGAAGGAAAATTTTCTGTTACAGCTGATGTGTGTGGAGTTGAAAGTCTAACAGTATGTTGTCTTTCATGAATGTATCAGGGAGAATGAAAACTGCAGAAAAGAAAAGGAAAGACAACAGAACCTTCTGCAAGAAAGGTTGACAAGATTCCCTTTTAAAACTAAATTTCAGGATATTAGGAGAACAGCCCACTTACAGAAGTGGAGGATGTTAAGTTAGCTAACTCCCCTTTGATCCACGGCTTCAGCAGACAGTTCCTAAATCCCTACGCAGCATCAGTCTGTACAGTTGTGTTCACTTTGAAAAAATAGTCATTAATATGGCAAAGCACCTGATCCTATTTACACACCTCTGGAAGAACTTCCATGAGGTTACATCCGAGACTTAGATTTGCTTTGATCTTGTGTACAGCTAAGGGATTTGAAAAACGAGATCCTTATTAATTAGTTGCAGAGAGTAGTAACTGCAGAAGGCTGTTTTTTTGTAGTTGAGTCCTCAGAGACTTAAAACAACACCTATTATGAACTGAAAATTGAAGTAACTTCTTTCAAGATGTTTTGTACATAAAACGGACGATATAGGAATAGAAGCTGTGCTTTAAGTTAAGGGATCTGAACACTGGCATTGACTACTCTTAGCCTTTCATAACTGTATAAATAGAAAAATACGAGAGAGGAAATGTTCATAGCTTTATAAATGGTAAGTGGAAGATGCCTGGTGAAAAAAAAGTGTTTACAAGTTTGTCTTGCTAATACAGAGACTTTAGTTGGAGTTCCTGCCTTACAAAAGGGAAGCTTTGTATTTTAACTTCCTGGAGAGAGAGTGAGATACAAAGTTATTTTATTTTTAATATGCTTTAAAATGCTGTTTAAATGAGATTATTGTAAAGATGCAGTCAGCAGAAATTGTCATTAATCATATTTGTTTTCTCGTTTTAGGCATTGAATCTGGCATATTCCAGCATCTACAGCAACTACAGGAATTTTGTTGGTCCCCCTCACTTTAAAGTCATCTGTAGACTTCTTGGGTATCAGGGTATTGCTGTGGTGATGGAGGAGTTGCTGAAAGTGGTCAAGAGCCTGGTATGCCAATTGTCTTTCATTTTCTGCTATTCCAAATGGCTTTTGATAGCTATGTCTCAAGAAAAACAAAGTGAAAGTGAGATCTCAGATAAAACTAATTTAAAGTGTTACTTCCATTGAAGTTCAGTATAAGCTATGTTTGAGAGTACTCAATGTCTTGTGAAAGACACATAGATGATGTGCCTTGGTAGCCTGAGCAGTGTTTTGAAAACGTTGGATTCTGCATTGGAGAGATGAATTTAATTTGTGGAGACCTATGCTGTTAGGTCCTGGGTAAACTCTGGAAAAGTATGAATGTTTCAAATTAAGTTGATTTCAGCTTAAAGATTGTACTGTAAATTCACTTTCTCGATATTTTTTGAGAACAGCTGGAGTGTGCTTTCTGCCTTACCTAACTTCAGGCTTTCATTAATAACATCATTGTCAGGTGACGCCTTAATAACAAGGAAGGTTTAATCTCTGTGCTTGATCTAGTAATGGATAGCATCAAGCCTATTTAGAAGAGTGCTCAGACCAGATGTTGAAGAAGTTGTCCATACAGCCTGGGTATCTTGTATTGGAAAGGTCCTTTTCCGTAACTAGGAGGAGATTGAGGGACTGGCTGTTAGCCATATTATTACTGTCTGTGTATACAGTTATAATGTATTGCAGTTAAGTTTAAGCTAAAGAAATGGTCTTTTCCTCCCTGTTCCTGTTGCCTGTAAGGAGCACGCTGCCAAAATAATCCAACTCTACCGGGGGATAGCTGTAGTTTTCATAATCTCACTTCAGACACTTGACACATTCGGCAGTTTGTTTACAGTAATTCCCACAATATTCTAAGTACGTTTTTGATGTTCTAGAATGGCTAGAGCCTGCTTGAAGGGATACTATGGTCTAATCTTCAGGAAAAGAAGAAAACACAGATATTTTTCGTGGTTTAGGGTCGAGTGTTAGTTTGTTGGGTTTGGGGGATTTTTGTTTTAATTATTTATTTAAGTGGTAAATCGTCCCAATTCATTAAAGGTAGCATTGAACACTTGGATGTTTATAAAGGAGGTTAAGAGGCCTGGGGGGAGGTGTCCTGCTGATGCCTGATGCAGATGCTCAGATGTGAGAAAGGTGTCTAGTGGGAGGAAGGCAGACTGACTGTAGGCTGGGACTGTGACTTAGTCTTAACTGGTATGTCCAGAATAGCCAGTTTGAGCTATTACAGACATACCTAATGGTAAGGATTTTTCTGTTGTTGCTTTTGAAAGCATTCAAATGCAACTTTTTGTACCAAAAATCTAAAAGTTCATTAGACAATAGAGACAGTCTGCAAGAGAAGAACATGGTTTCCTCTTTTTTATCTTCCTGGCCTTAGCTGTTGTGCCACTCTTCCTTGCAGCAAAAGGTGGCTAATGCCACATGAAGGAAAGTGCAACTGTATTCATTTGAAAAAGTTGCCTTTTTGAAGATGATGACTGACAGAATTAAATGCAAGATTTTTAGAGCTTGTTCAAATCATGTGTAGTTTGAATGCAACTTCTTGTAAAGT